GGGGGGAAGAGGGAAAGATGGGGGGGAAGGGAGGTTCGGGGAGATTGATTGATTGATTGATTGATTGATTGATTGATTGATTGATTGATTGATTGTTGTTGTTGTTGTTGTTGTTGTTGTTGTTGTTGTTGTCGGTCTTTTGTGGTGAACTGTTGTCGTGCTCCTGTCTTTCGAACTTTCCGGGGGGGAGGTCTGGTAGGAGGTTCGGGAGGGAGGGGGAAGACCCGCGGTGTTAGGACTGAGGTTCAAGGAGACAAGGGAGGGTGGGAGGGTCGGGGAGATTGGGGGGAAGAGGGAAAGATGGGGGGAAAGGAGGTTCGGGGAGATTGATTGATTGATTGATTGATTGTTGTTGTTGTCGGTCTTTTGTAGCGAACTGTTGTCGTGCTCTTATCTTTCGAGCTTTCGGGGGGTAGGTTCGGGGAGATTGGTTGATTGATTGATTGATTTATTGATTGATTGATTGATTGATTGATTGATTGATTTTTGTTGTTGTTGATCGTTTGCAGTCCGCTGTTGTCAGGGAGATAGGGGGTGATGGTTTGCTTAATTGTTTTCAGTGAGCAGACCGGTGGATGCGGATAGAGAGTGGACGAGGGAGAGCGTTGAGGGAGGGAGAGCATTGAGGGTTGTTGAATGAACTGGCTTTAACCAGCATTGCTCCTTCCGCTTTCGTCGTTTCGCTGCAGGATGACGAAGAGCCGTAGTGAGGCCGTGAAGAAGCACTTCACGAAAGTGGGGGACAGCGGCAGAGCCGATAAGGGTAACAAACAACGGATCTGCAATTATTGCGACAAGCCTGTGGCCGGGACAGCGAGCAAGCCAAGGGACCATTTCTTGAAGGGTTCGCGATGCGATGTCGAGCGCCTGCGAGGTGTTGTGCCGAGAGAAGAGTACTCGAGGAGGGTGAAGGGGAGATTGGCTGCGAGGTCGGAGTTGGGAGCCGTTACGGAAGAGACTGCCGAGGGGGGGTCATCGGAGGACGACAACGAGCAGCGGACTGTAGAAGGCGGAGTGGTCGATCAATCGGAGTCTGCGGCGGGGCTCCGTCATGCGACTCCCCAGTCGTCCACAGGTGTGGTTGGCCTCCGTCAAACAACAATGGAGGACAATGCTGTCGTTATCACGGCGCACGAGCAAACACAGCGCACAGTGGACGACTGGATGACGGCAGAATGCATCCCATTGCATATGATGCAGGGCGAGTACTGGGACAGAATGGTGCATGCACTCATGAATGCGCCCAAAGGATTCCGGTATGCGAAATTCGAGAGTGCAAGGACAAAGAGGGTTGAAGTGACGAGGGGGAGGGTCGTGATGAGGGTGGAGGAGCTGCGGCAGGAGTGGCCAACCATTGGCTGCATGTTGCAGCTTGATGGTTGGACAGATCGCCGACAAAGACCACACATCAATGTGATGGTCTCCTTCCCGAAGGGCTCTATCTTCTGGCGAAGTGTGTGCATGTCACGGCGCAACAAAGGCGCCTCGGCATACTATGCCATTCTGAAGAGGGCAATAGAGGAGATAGGTGCAGAGGCAGTGGTGGGGGTCGTTATGGACAATGCTGCCATTTGTGCAGCTGCGGGGCGAATGGTGGAAGCGGATCACCCGCACATCTTCTCGGTCCCATGCACAGCTCACTCGCTCGACCTCATTTTCGAGTCTTTCGCGAAGATCACGTGGGTGGGCGAAGTTATTAAAAGGGCATCGGAGGTAGCAAAGTTCTTCACGAACCTTTCGCGGGTGCGGGATCTCCTCCTCCACTACTCCAATGGCAGCGTCGTGGCAAAACCGGGTGCAACCCGGTTTGCCACGAACTTCATCATGCTGTCAAGCCTGCAGGGGTTGTACTTGCCGCTGCGAGCGTGTTTGATGGACGATGATTGGAAGTCAGCGATTGTGCACACTTCGCAACACGAACTGTTTGTGAGGGTGACACATGCCATCTTCGACGACACCTTTTGGGCAGATATCGAGAAGGTGATGCAAACGTCCAAGAACCTCCTCAATCTTCTGAAGAAGGTCGACGGTGCGGGCCCCACCATCAGTAAGGTGTACGCCCGTATGGACAGCGCTGTGGAGAAACTGAGGGAGAGCAAGCACTTCACGGAAGCAGAAAAGGATGAGCTAGAGGGTATAATAATGCGGCGCTGGAATACAATGACTTCACCACTGCATTGTGCTGCGTTGTTTTTGGATCCGGAGTACAGAGCGTCGCGGCCGGAATCCGATGCAGAGATTGTGGACGGGTTTTGGACATGGCTTTACTCGTGGTGCAAGGAGGCTGCGTACAGGGAGGTCGACGTGGAGGTCTGTTCTTGGATCGAGAGCACCGGGAGGCACACTACCGAAAATGCAAGGACACAAGCCCGTACGATGCAGCCGGCGAGGTGGTGGCGGAAGTGGTGCAGCGACATGCCCATCCTCCAAAAGCAAGTCGTTCAGCTCCTTGGACAAGGCTCCTCCTCCTCTAGTTGCGAGAGGAATTGGAGCTTGTTCGAACGGATTCACAGTCGTCTCCGCAACAATCTTGGCGCCGTCAAGCTAAGCACGCTGGTTTTCAACAGATGGAACCAGCACTTGTTGGACTTATTGACCAAGAAACCGAAGGCTGACGATGCGGCGAAGTGGGAAGAGGATGAGCCGATGGAAGATCTCACACGAGATGACATGGCGTCGGATGCACACCTGCGGTTGGGGGAGTGGCGTGCCCGCTTGCGCGGAACACATTCGGTCCACGACGAAGGTGAGAATGACGACTCGGGCTCCGACTAGGAGGACATTCCTGTCCAAGCGCAACAAACGATTGTTGCGGAGGAGGTCACAGTTCAGCATCGTCAGCTGCGCAGCGAGTTGTTCGAGCTCGAGAGGGAGCTCAACGAGTCGTGGAGGAAGGCAACGAAAGCTTCCAAGTTTTTGGCCCGGAAACATTTGCATGACTTGGATCAGGCTACCAGGACGATGACCCTCGAGCATGCCAACAAGTACAAAGTTGCGCGGGCTGCTGCATGTGCACCACCCTCCGTACCCGCCAAACGAGGGAGAGGGAGACCTCGAAAGGACGCTGCGACTCATGGGGGGACAGGTGACGAGGAAATTGAGGATGCGGAAGGTGGAGATTTGGAAGGTGTTGGTGCACCCACACGTGCAACAAGAAAGCGGGGACGACCACGGAAGGCGCCTGTGGAAGAGGAGGAGGCTGGAAATAGAAGGGAGACACGGAAGCGGGGACGTTTGCAGGTGCAGCCTGCCGAAGAGGAGGAGGAAGCAGCGTTTGAAAAGACGAGCAGCGCTGACAAACATGGCAGCAGCGACGGAAGCAGCAGTAGCGACGAAAGCGGGGCTGAGCATAATGAAAATGATGGGAGCGGCGGCAGCGGAGGTGCGCGTGATGGCGGCGGCAGCAGCGATGAAAGTGGAGGTGGTCGTGGCAGCAATGATGGCAGCGAGAAAGATGGGAGGTCGTCGGAGGAAGAGGATGACTCCGAATGCGAAGGCCAGTAGGGAGATGGGAGTTCGTCGGAGGCAGAGGACGACTCCGACTTACAGCGCAGTCAGACATCGCGCTGAAGAGAGAGAGAGAGAGAGAGAGAGAGAGAGAGAGAAAGAA